GGATGGATAGTCTGAAAAGAGCATTTAACAAGACCTGACCCCAGTCAAACACAGTTGTAAATGTGATCCATAATTTTGCATCATTATTTTGTGTTTGGGAGTCGTGAATAATCCGTGTGTCATTCGTTCATTCGTTTTTCAATGTAAAACCAAAAATAAGAAAACGAAAAAACAACAGTTTTCTTCGTTATTTGTCTTCAAAACCAAAATTTAAAAAACAGATAACAATTTGTTTTTTCAGTTTTCGATTTTGTGTTTAAATGAAAAATGGAAAAAATGGATAACAGACGTGGATCAGTCCTGGTTCAGTCCGTTCGCAGCGCAAAAGTCCGGCATCGGAGTCACGGAAGTCACATAAACGGGAAACGGCCGTTATCCGTTTTTTCCATTCTTCATTTAAACACAAAATCGAAAACTGGAAAAACAAATCATTATCTGTTTTTTCATTTTGGTTTTGGAGACAAATAATTAAAAAACTGTTGTTTTTTTGTTTTCTTATTTTTGGTTTGATATTGAAAAACGAATGAACGAATGATACACAGATTGTGAATGTCTACAGTTGTTACTATGAGCGTTGCTACTGAAACAGGATAGATTCAGACACACCATGAAACAACAACACGCCCTCTTTAATTGGCCGTGTAGTTTCTCTGGCACAGTGTGAAGAACGGGCGCAGATAGATGTAAACATGTCAAGGATAACTCCAGGGCTACAGCTGCTGCGAGAAAGAATGTAGCCTCCAAAAAACAAAATCAGAGCTCCATAAAAACATCTACTGTAAAAGGGAGAGTCCTCAGTTTGTTTTTTTTTTCAAAAGTATTTCAAGTTCAGAACCATTCAAGGTTAAGACATGGAAGTTTGTCCACTGTATTTGACCCACGTCGCTCCATAAAATGGATTTTGCATGTTTCTTGTTCTTTGTTGGATGTACGATGGATTTATTTAATGTTATATGTTGTAAAAGAACCAAATAAGAACTCAGTAAAAATACCAAAAGTATGACACACATAAACAAACAAACACGGCTATGGGTGTGCAAAAATATCAAAATATCGTATCATTTAATGTGACGATGTAGTATCGATATCGTGGGTTGCTGTATCGATATATTGCCAAGCGGATTTTTTAGTATATTTTGCTAAATTATTTTGTTACAGCTACAGTTTTGTTGTTTGTTCAGAGGAAGGAAACTCGCTTACGTGACACATTGGACATTTTCACTGTTTTGATGATTAAAATGTTTGTTTCATATGAACTTTGCACAAGAAGTAGTTTAAAAAGTAGTTTAACAAAGAATTTTAGTATCACAGCCATGATTTAGCCTTTATTTTTACTGAAACGTATCTAAGCAAAGCCGAAGCAAAATTGAGCTCTTGATGTGACACATTTTGGAACATGGAAATTACGATTTTGTCGAGTTTTGCCTATGATTTGTTTATTATCTATGAATATCTGCATTGGTTTTAAAGTAAAATGTGAAATGTTCAGGGATCGTAGTCGTATTCTAAAGAATTTTATACATAAAAACACAAATTTGATACTAATTTCATAAATATTAAGAATGTTAAGTTTGATGAATAAATTAGCAGACGATGTTAGTGGGCTGGAATGAGTTGCAATTCGAACAAGCGCAATCGGAGATAACAACCTGGTCCCCATGAGGCATCAGTGGGGTCAGTTTATCACCAGAGAAGCAGTTTATGAGGAGCCCAGTCCATATTACATGATTGTTATATCCACAATGCAGTGTGTGTATCTGTACAGGCCCATGAACATTTGTGTGATATTGGTCACACATGAGAATATCTGTGTTTACTTTTTCTGACATTTTGAGACCACTCCTGTTGCTCGAGCTTGATCCTTTGCGGAGTTATGACCAAAAATGCATATTAGACCTTGGTTACCTCGACCTTCAAGTGACCTTGACCGGTTTCAACCTGTATCATCCAGTGTGCCCCAGTTATGTGTGTGCCAACTTGTGTGAGGATTGGGTGAATATTTTAGGCCGCAGATGGTTCAGAAATTGCTGAAACTGCCTTTATCCTTTATAATGGCGTGACTTTTCAATTGACCCGTGTGACCTCAAATTACCTTGGATCGTCACCAAACTTTTTTCCCCGCATCGGGCACAGGGGCTTGACCCACGTACTAAATTTGGTGACAATCGGTTCATAAATGGTGGAATTATCGAGGTGGACAGACACACAGACACACAGGGTGAACACAAAATCTGGTTAAATCTTCGGGGACCAGGTAACAAAACGTTTTTGCACCAATATTTTGTTCAGAGCTGTTGAGAATGTACAAAAACCTAAAGCTAGAACTCAACAGTTAATCCATAATTGATTAAAGTTACTGATTACAGAAATGGAACCGGATGAAGCTCACAGTTAGTGAAGTTAACGCAACATCTGATAATACACAAGGGTATTATCTGAAGTAGAGCAAAGGAAAGGAGCGTGGAGGAGGCAGAGGACAAAGAATTCTACTGAAAACAAGAAAATTCAAAACATAATTTAAATTTAACCTATAAAAAGTACTCAATATAATACTCTGAATTTAAATGTTGACATGTTTGTACAGTGTGTGGACATGTTTTCTACAGTGCTGGAACAATTAGTTATAATTAGAAATAATGTGACCGTCTGTTGTGTTGCTCCAAAATGCAGAGTCATGGTGAGTCGGCTGGACTGGTCTAGAGCTCTGGGTCTCTGTCTTGTCCATGTAACCCCACCTAACCTTTAACGGTTTCATTAATTAATTCAAACATTCATTATTAATTAATTTAAGCCACAGTATGTAACTTTAAGGAAAAAATATAGACTAAAATAAAAGCTTTTTTTTTTTCATGTCGGATATAGTTATTGTAGTGAAAATCTCGTGTCCAGACTGTAGATAATATAAAGAAGTGGACTAAGTGATTGTGACGTCCCCCAATCAAATGAAGCTCACTGAGGGTAGCAGTTACAGGGATGAGACTTTGGAGCCGAGTCACATATTTGGAATTCCAAACGTGAGTATAATGGCAACCAAAGAGCCAATCAGGTGCGAGGCTGTTGACGGTACAGCTGCTTAGCAACCGTGTCACTCAAAAGGTAAAACAAGGCGCCTGATTTGTCTGTTATTAATGTTCATATCTTGATTTATGGACAAAATAGCAAAATAAAAACACCAGGATCATTTAGAGAGAGTTATTATTAACCTTTTAAGACAAAAATAAGTCTTACAAAGAGTTACTTTAAATAGAAACTGAACTGGAGCCGGAATCGATGGAGCTGGAAGCGTGCCCATATTCACTTCCTATTTGGAATGAGGCGACTGGCAGTTTCGCTATGTCTATTTATTAGGGATGTAACAATAATTGTATCGTCAAAGTTCTCACAATAATATCGTGGACCATCACAATATATCGAATTACAAGTCTCTTTGCTTAAATGAAGAGTTATGGTGCTGGAATAGCTAAAAAAAAACACATGGAACTACATAGACCATGATCCTTTGCTCCATTTCAGTGCAGACTACAAGAAGAAATAACAGTTCTAACACTTTTAAGTCTTAGTTCTTTGGATTAAGTCTTGTCAAGGCATTTTAAGAGGAAAAAGTAGCATATTAACAGTTTTGTTCAGAGCCTCCACAAAATATCAGAATTAATATCGTACCGTGAGATGTATATCGTGAAAATATCGTACAGAGAGATTTGGATATTGTTACATCCCTAATCGCGAGCCTCCCCACCATATCGTGAACTTTCCCATGATATCGCAATAAATATCGTACCCTGAGGTTCATACCGTGACGATATTGTATCCTGAGATTCGGATATCGTTACACTCCTACCATTTATATATACAGTCTATAGTCCTTACTGTGAATAGCTTGCATTTCCACAAACCTGACTCTTATTTGGTCTGGAAGAGAGCCCCCTGCTTGTTTCTGTGGAAATATTGATCCTTTGCCTATCACCTTCTAGCTCGATTCATCAGCCGGTTTCACTTTGTGGAAACGGTCTGACCTCGCAGCATTAGGATTCGTTCGCTCGACAGTAAGCGGGTACTTTTTTTTATTTAACCAATCGCTGCTGTTTGGTCGTGACGTACGTAATGTGCCAAGCCCGGAGGAAGAAGGACAATAATGTCTTTTTCCGTGATAAAATTCACCAAACATTCTTTTTATTCCGGCTTTAAATCGGGAATCGTTGACAACACTGAATTCTGGTTCTTCGCTGATTGGCTGGTGCCCGAATTCGCACTTCTGGAGTTTTTATAAACCGTCTAGTGTATTCTGATTCCTGACCTAGTCGCTGGAGAGAAATGAAATTGAACGGAGGCATTAGGTGGCACCAGCCTGGCTAATAACCTTCCACAGTATGACAAAAAACGCATCTATCTCCATGGACAATGTTCCGAAGTGTGGTTTTAACTTTCTTTTTCCGTGGAATCATGCTGGTGACGTGCCCCATTCAGAAGTTGCCGATACGATGCATACCTCAATACAGTGAGCTTTCGATTTGATACCATTCAATACGATATATTTCAAATCGATTCGATACGGTTTAATAAAAAAATAAAGGGTGAATCATGTTTGTGATACCAAAAGTCTTTGTTAATCCACTTCTTGTGCAAAGTTCATATGAAACACAAACATTTTAATCATCAAAACAGTGAAAATGTCAAATGTGTCGCATAAACAAGTTTCCTTCCTCTGAACAAGCAGCAAAACTATAGCGCTGTAACAAAATAATTAGTAAAATAAACCAAACAAATACTCAAAATAGCAGCCCACGATATCAATACTGCATCATCAAATTAAACAATACGATATATTGATATTTTTTATATTTTTGCACACCCCTCCTCCTCACATACTGCAGCTTTAATGAACATTTCTTATCAAAATATTACTGGTTTTCTTATTTCGACTGCTCAGTATTTTGTGTAAGTGAGCAGACATGTTCTGTTTTGTCAGTTTTGACGGTCACGTGGAGTCTGTTGATTCTTACCCACTGAGACGTGCCGAGACGTGCCAAAGAAAGTGTAGAGCAGCACGGGGTAGAAGGACGAGTAGAGGCCGTAGACCGGAGGAACAGCTGCCAGCAGAGCGTACGCCAGACCTACCCCCGGGGCAAGAGCATCACATGTAAACACAAAGTAACATGAGCTTAAAGTGTTTATGTTCCACTATCGTCTGATCTATGTTCTAATGTCGTTTCCTCGTCACAAACTACGGAAGCCGAGAGGGGTCACAACAAACGCAAACGCCGCAACAAATACAAATGCGACAACACAACAAAAAGCCACAACAAACCAAAAAAAGCCACAACGGAAATGACCGCGGGACTCTATTTTAATGCAAACGCCGCAACAAATACAAACGCCACAACACAAACGCAAATGCCGCAACACATTAAAAAGCCACAACACTTTAAAAAGCCACAACACATTAAAAAGCCACAACACTTTAAAAAGCCACAACACATTAAAAAGCCACGACACATCAAAAAGCCACAACGGAAGTGACCGCGGGACTCTATTTTCCGACGGACCGATCAAGCGGCAAGTGAAGAAGAAGAAGAACTACAACGTGAAAAGTAAAGGAACGGAGAAGTGGGAAACGTAAGTAAAAGTAATTTATTGTTTTATCATTATTCGTTTCACGTTGTAGTTCTTCTTCTTCACTTGCCGCTTGATCGGTCCGTCGGAAAATAGAGTCCCGCGGTCACTTCTGTTGTGGCTTTTTGATGTGTTGTGGCATTTGCGTTTGTGTTGTGGCGTTTGTATTTGTTGTGGCGTTTGCATTAAAATAGAGTCCTGCGGTCATTTCCATTGTGGCTTTTTTTGGTGTGTTGTGGCTTTTTAATGTGTTGTGGCTTTTTTAATGTGTTGTGGCTTTTTGATGTGTTATGGCTTTTTAATGTGTTGAGGCTTTTTAATGTGTTGTGACTTTTTAAAGTGTTGTGGCTTTTTAATGTGCTGCAGCATTTGCGTCTGTGTTGTGGCGTTTGTATTTGTTGTGGCGTTGGCATTAAAATAGAGTCCCGCGGTCATTTCCGTTTTCTGCTTTTTTGGTTTGTTGTGGCTTTTTGTTGTGTTGTCGCATTTGTATTTGTTGCGGCGTTTGCGTTTGTTGTGACCCCTCTCGGCTTCCGTAACAAACAGACCTGGAGTTGTGTTTTTTTTGTTTCATTCACACATGTTTAACTCACAAACTCTGCAGATTTAGGCTTAGATCTTCACTCAAAGTCTCAATCTAAAAAAATCTAGCCCAATTTCTACTGAACTAAAGATAAAATTAGCTGTTCACTTGTAGGTGTTGAGAATCCTGTTGTGAATCATGTTGAAGGAAGAAAGTACCGTGATGAGAATCCACCGCCTCTCCCAAGTTTCAGGAGAGTGAAGCTTTTGCTCCTTTAGTTTTCATGTTCCCATTTTTGCATTTTTATCTTTATTTTTGATATTCTTATTTTTTCATTACATTAAAAGTAGAGAAGTGATGTTAGCTGAAAGAGATGTAGCGTTTGAAGTGTGATGTTTTGATCTTTATTTCTGTACCAGTGAGTGAGGCATGTAACCGCATCCTGTTGGCGTCTTGCTGCAGGTTTTGCCTTTGCAAACATACGTAATCCTTTTTTGTGCAGCCTTGCTTTTTTTTTTTTTTTTATTTATTTTCATGAACTTTCCAGGACTTTCCATGCTATTTTGATGAGCTCTGCATTGTAACAGGATATCTAAAGGTGCAGATCCATGAGTGGGGGAGGGGGAGACTCTCAGATTGATATAAATACTAGTGCAAAATCAGTGCATTTTTTGGACTCGCTCAAGGTTTTTACCAAGAGTCTCTCAGGCAAATCTAAAAGCATTAGATCAATACATGCATCAAGAATCTCAGGACTTCCAGTCATTGTGCAATCCATACTGAGAAGGATTTTCCAAAAAAGTGAGCATCTAACCGCCATGTTTGTTTTCCCAGTGGGATGTGTCTATTGTCAAAGTCGATCTTTTCAAGTCTTTTGAATCATATCGCATTTGTTTCTGGTTCTGATATTGTCATATTTTAGTTACGGGATTCGGACATCCACAGGAATGACCAAAAAGGAAACATTTGGCTGCCTAAGAAATCATCCCGAGTTTGCAGCGAAACTTTTTGTATGTGGAACTCCAACAAAGCAAAATCCTGATTCCTCGCTCAACCTTGGTTACGAATTTAAAAAGTCAACACCAAAGTGAAAGGCACCAACTGTTCACCAAGAAACGACTTCCACTGCACAGAGACCAAGACGTGATGTTGCTGTAAAGTCGATCAAGAAAGTGCAGCTCAGTCTGTTTGTCTTCTGTACCTTTTGATTAACAAATGTGATTTTGCTTTGATGTCGCTCCACATATAAAATGTTCGCTGCAAACACGGGATGATTTAGTCAAATGTTTCCTTTTTTGTCTTTCCGGTGTATCAATCCTGCCCATCACCTTCACCTTTCACTATTTTTCAATTCCGTTGGGAAGAGAAACAGTTTGAACAGGGGTTTGCAGTCACACACATCTGATTCACTTTTGCATTTATGGAGTTCGCAAACAAATTTCTTGAGCCGTTTTCCGCTGTTAGGATCCAACAACCACACAATTACAATGTCCGAATCCCAAAACTAAAATATGACAATATCAGACCCAGAAACAAAAGTGATATGGTTCAAAAGACTAGAAAAGTTCGGCTTTGACAATAGACACATCCCACTGGGAAAACAAACATGGCGGTTTGATGCTCACTTTTTCGGAAAATCCTGCCCAGTATGGATTGCGTGATAACCCAAAGTCCGAGATTCTTGACGTATCTATGCATGTTACCTTTAGATCTCCTGACTGAAGAAGTCAGAAGTGTACACGTACTTAATGTACATGAAGCTGGAGGGACCTTACAGAGCAATCTGTTGAGACATTTTACCATTTTTTCCATTTGAAGACGACCACAAGGTAAGCTTGGTTATTTGATCTCTTGAAACTGAACTGCTTCTTGTAATGTCTGTAACTTTAGTGTAGTTATTATTTTTGTTGAAGTTAGTTAAACCTGGGGTATCTAAAGGTCAGGCTTTTTAACAGTAGGGATGTAACAATAACCGAAATGTCTTGATATCGTATCGTCAAAGTTCTCACAATAATATCGTGGACCATCACAATATATCGAATTACAAGTCTCTTTGCTTAAATGAAGAGTTATGGTGCAGGAACAGCTAAAAAAAGACAGAGGGAACTACATAGACCATGATCCTTTGCTCCATTTCAGTGCAAACTACAAGAAGAAATAACAGTTCTAACACTTTTAAGTCTTAGTTCTTTGGATTAAGTCTTGTCAAGGCATTTTAAAAAGAAAAAGTTGAATATTCACAGTTTTGTTTGCCTCCAAAAAATATCGCAATAAATATCGTACCGTGAGATGTATATTGTGAAAATATCGTACCTGAGAGATTTGGATATTGTTACATCCCTAATCGTGAGCCTCCACACCATATCGTGAACTTTCCCTCGATATCTCAATAAATATCGTACTGTGGTATTGTTACACCCCTATTCACTTTAAAACTACAGCCTCATGACATCACAAAGTGGAACAGAGATTTTGAGATGTAGACAGACTGATAATAAAGGATTTTACTCAAGCAAACACAACTCCGGGTGTGTTTTTGATGAGGAACTCGAAACTTGAAGGTGAATTCCTACTCACAGAAATCGCATCAGTACTGAAACCAAACTGTGACTAAACCAAAACTCAAACCAGCACAAATATAAACGCTCCCTTTGTCAACATAATAAAAAGGGTGAAGGCCTGTGTTTCCGTCAGAGTTATTGGACTCATCTGTGAGAAGCAGAGGAGCAGTTCTGTGTTTTGTTTTTTTAGTGGTTAAGGTTATAAAAATTCACTTCGCAGCAGCAGTGTCTTCAGCTGCCTGTGGAGTCTGTTTATCCAGATGCACAAGGGAGTTTTAAAACACTGTTACAACACTGAGATCAGGGTTTATGACCTGGTTTAGATCTGGTTAAGTCCTGCTTTAGTACTAGGGATGCACCGATCCGATACTGGTATTAAATAACGGCGCTGATACTGAAAAATTTGCTGAATCGGATATCGCTTTCCAAACAGAGGTTCATCCGATATCCTGATTGGACATATACCGTATTTTTTGGAATATAAGTCAAATTTTTTTCATGTTTTGGGTGTTTCCTGCGACTTATACTCTGGTGCGACTTATATATTAAAATTTTCACACTGACAGTCTCGAGAGGTTCTAGTCTTGTGTGTGAGTATCTGCTGCTCCTGTTCCTCCTGTACCACTGTCACTTGGCTCTACTGCACATGTCTCCTGCAGAAAGAGCCTCTGTCCTGCTGCAAGTCGTGAAATATTCAGCCGAAAACAGTAATCGAGCAGCAGAAAGAAAGTTTGGAGTGAGCGAGAAACTTGTGAGGGACTGGAGGAAAGTGGGAATGGAGAACACAGCTTCACGGGAACCATGAAACTTTCCTGAAGTCACTGGATGGATGGACAAAGTCTGGACTTCAGTGACACCGAAACCATCCTGTCGGGATTCAGAAAGACCCGAATAATTCTAACTGGAACTGATGCTGAGTCTGACGACAGCGACACAGAAGAGGAAGCGGCGCTCTGTTTACCTCCGGAGGTCGTGGAGTTGTTCAGAAGTGACACCGAGGATGAAGAATTGAATGGATTTAGTGATTTGGAGTGAGATGGAGAGTTTGTTAAACTTGTTCTGTTCTGTTGTTTATGTTATAGTTTATCTGAAGAACTGTTCATATGTGACGTTAACAGTCTGTTGTTCTCTCTTCTATTGTTTTTACTACAACTTGACTTTTAAGATGAAATGTCGATTCCTGGTCTTTGATTTTATAAAATACATTTCCCCAACTTTCCCCGCCTTATATATGTTTTTTTCTTCTTCATTACACATTTTTTGGCTGGTGTAACTTATACTCCGAAAAATACGGTAAATTGATTTAACAACACTATTTACTGCTCGTAGCTTGCCAGAAGGTCCAAAAAATGTTAAAATTTTTATTTATACAAAGCTGTTCTGTTACTTGAGAGATAAACAAGAGTTACGTAACACATTTGGATCAGTTTTGTCTTATTTTAATTTAATTTAAAAAGAAATAAATGCTGTTTTCTCTCTCTCTGGTATCGGTTGATATCAGTAGATACTTAAAAAATTGTATCGGAACTGAAAAAGCTGCAGATCGGTGCATCCATATTTAGTACTTGTTCAGATCTGAATGAGTCCTGGTTTACTCCTGGTTTAGTCCTGGTCTAGACCTAAATCGGTCCTGGTTTAGTCCCAGTCTGGACATAAATCGGTCCTGGTTTAGTCCCGGTCTAGACCTAAATCGGTCCTGGTTTAGTCCTGGTCTAGACCTAAATCTGTCCTGGTTTATTCCTGGTCTAGACCTAAATCGGTCCTGGTTTAGTCCTGGTCTAGACCTAAATCTGTCCTGGTTTATTCCTGGTCTAGACCTAAATCGGTCCTGGTTTAGTCCTGGCCTAAACCTAAATCTGTCCTGGTTTAGTCCTGGTCTAGACCTAAATCTGTCCTGGTTTATTCCTGGTCTAGACCTAAATCGGTCCTGGTTTAGTCCTGGCCTAAACCTAAATCTGTCCTGGTTTAGTCCTGGCCTAGACCTAAATCGGACCTGGTTCAGTCCTGGTCTAGACCTAAATCGGACCTGGTTCAGTCCTGGTCTAGACCTAAATCGGTCCTGGTTTAGTCCTGGCCTAGACCTAAATCTGTCCTGGTTTAGTCCTGGTCTAGACCTAAATCGGACCTGGTTCAGTCCTGGTCTAGACCTAAATCGGTCCTGGTTTAGTCCTGGCCTAAACCTAAATCTGTCCTGGTTCAGTCCTGGTCTAGACCTAAATCGGTCCTGGTTTAGTCCTGGTCTAGCCCTAAATCAGTCCTGCTTCCGTCCTATTTTACACCTGCTTTGTCCCACCTAATGACATCATTAGGTGGCAATCCAGCTGCTCCTCTGTGTTTTCAAATAAATATTGAAATAAGTAAATTGATGTTTTGGAAATGTTAAATCTAACATTTAAGACACAATTTGTTGGTTATTTAATTTCTTACAAATCTTCAAAGTAATAACCTGAATGAAGGATTGGTTTTATATTTTATTTACTTTTATATCTACAGTTGTGGATATGTTCTTTTTTTTCCAGCTACACTCACAAAGGTCATGTGAGTCCTGCTTTAACTTAGAACTAAACTTAATCGAACGCTTTAACCCAGCTCCCCTTAGTCCTCATACAAATAGAATAGAATAGAAAGCCTTTATTGTCAAATGTCAAAAATGTCAAATGTGAATAATATTGTTGATTTGTCAGAGTGTGACCGACCCTGAGGCAGCTGCACCACTCCAGTGCTGAGTCCGGACACCACGTCTGAGAAGATGTACTGTTTGAAGGGATACGACGGCAGCCACGACAGCACGGGGAGCAGACTGAAGACGAGCGCCCGGGCTCTCTGCGCCGAGCACCTGAACACACACACACACACACACACACAGGTGAAACTTAAAAAATATCGTAACTTTTTGTTTTGGGGGACCGTCACCTGCTTATTTCTATGGATACGTCCTTGCTCTGCCTGGAATGTTCCACAGTGTGACATTAAACAGCTATACTTTACTTTTATTCAATTACAGGTGGTTTTAAAGCTCAAAAATACTCGGAAAAACAAACATTCTGGCTGTGAGTGGGGTCGCCTCTACGCAGATCTGACCTGTAACTTGGTCTGGTTTGGGCTCCATGATGATAAAAATATTTTATGTCAAACTGCGAAACATTCCAGACAAAGCAAAAACGTCTCCATGGAGAAAAGCGTTTGACGGACCCTAAACCAGAGAAGTAACACGATGCAGCTTTAACATGAAGATACAAACACGTTTACAGTCTGAGGTATTTTCAGAACACTTTTCAGGCTCTTTAAAAGGATCCAGCAGGTTTTATCTGTCACAATAAGAACCAGTTACAGCCGCAGGAGACAATGACCTTAATCCCACTAAACCTGTTGTTTGGTCATGTACATTAACCTGGAACAAGCTTTCGCACTAATTCATTATGATTATCCACCTTATTCGGCCCCACCCACTTCTGTCTCTAAACACTCCTAACCGTGCTTTTCTGTGCCGGCACTTCCGGTTAAACGCAGTCACGTTCATGTCAAGAGAATATGGGAGATGTTTTGCTTCTTAAATATGACATAATGTTGGTTCATTTGTGTAAAATGTGCCAAGAAGTCACACTGCACCTATTCTCTTAAATGGGCATTAGAACAGGTTTATAGTCGGTGTTAAAAAGGCCTTGTATTCTTGGGTGCTTCTGCATGGAGACTGTAACAACATGCAGCGGCCAATCAGAAGTCTGCAAACCCCATGTGACCACGTCTTTGCAGGGCTGGGACCAGGTGTTGGGGTTCAGTGTGTCGGACAGTCTCGAGAGGGTGAACCACTCCTGAACCACTGTCACTTGGCTCTACTGCGCATGTCTCCTGCAGAAAGAGCCTCTGTCCTGCTGCAAGTCGTGAAATATTCAGCCGAAAACGGTAATCGAGCAGCAGAAAGAAAGTTTGGAGTGAGCGAGAAACTTGTGATTGGCTGGTGGAAAGTGTGGATGGAGAACAAAACTTCACTGTAACCGGGAGGATGCAGCATGAAACTTTCCTGAAGTCACTGGATGGATGGACAAAGCCTGAACTTCAGTGACACCGAAACCATCCTGTCGGGATTCAGAAAGACCCGAATAATTCTAACTGGAACTGATGCTGAGTCTGACGACAGTGACACAGAAGAGGAAGTGACGCTCTGTTTACCTCATGGATCTACGGTTTATGTCCGGAGAAGTGACACCGAGGATGAAGAATTGAATGGATTTAGTGATTTGGAGTGAGATGGAGAGTTTGTTAAACTTGTTCTGTTCTGTTGTTTATGTTATAGTTTATCTGAAGAACTGTTCATATGTGACGTTAACAGTCTGTTGTTCTCTCTTCTATTGTTTTTACTAGAACTTGGCTTTCAAGATAAAATGTCAGTTCCTGGTCTCTGATTTTACAAAATACATTTCCCCAAAAAGTGCGACTTATATATGTTTTTTTCTTCTTCATTACTCATTTTTTGGCTGGTGCGACTTATACTCCAGAGTGACTAAGGCTACATTCAGACTGCAGGGCTTAACGCTCAATTCCGATTTTTTTGTGAAATCCGATGTTTTTGTGAGGTCGTTCACATTTCCAATTAAATGTGACTTGTATGTGACTCCAGTGTGAACATTAAACGGCCCAAAAGTGTCCCACATGTGACACTGGAGACACGACGACGTCAACCGCAGCGAGCGTCTCTGTGTTTACAGAAGTTGTCCAAACATGGACGCAGCATCGAGCACCTGGAGATTTTAAAGTTCCTCTCGTACCGGAGCCAGAACATGAACAACTTACTTGTTTTAAGGAGGAGATTGAGAAGGAGAAGGACGAGGTTTTTGGTCGTGGTGTTTTGTGGGGCAGCGGCAGCGACGTCCGTTGAAAGGAACGTGTGGATGTGGAGACGGAGCCAAGAGTGGTGAGTGGTGATGTGCTTCACTTCAGTGACATGGAGTTCATTAACAATTTTCACCTACTTCAGTGCAGAATAGTGACGTTTGTGGCTTGTTGATAACGTGTAGGTGGATGAATGCACTTTGGCCGTTCACACTGAAGTCACATGTCAAAAGATCAGATATGTATCAGTTTCAGGAGCACATATCCAAGTGTCCTGGGTCACATTTGAAAAAATCAGATCTGTGTCGTTCAGACTGTCATTAAAAGATCAGATACAGGTCACATAGAGGCCAAAAAATCGGATTTGGGTCACTTCAGGCTGCAGTCTGAACGCAGCCTTATAGTCTGGAAAATACGGTAATCATTTCAAACGTGTGATCAGTCTGATACTTTTCCAATTAAAATCCAGTTAAAGTAAACGGTGCGTTGTGAACATGTGAGCTTTAACTTACTGACACTGCTGAGAGATCCTCTGTTTGATCGTCACCGAGGGCGTGTCCTTCTTGTGGAGCTGGGACTCGAGTTTTTCCTCATCGTACACGGGTCTGTTCACGCGGAACACGAGGGCGGAGGAGGCGGAGGGGGAGGAGGGGGGAGGTGGGGAGGAGGTGGACGGGGTGGGGGGGTCCTCCATCGCGGAGAAGGAGGGAGAGTCCGTTAAACCTGATCGAAATCTGCAACGTCAACACCAACTCATCTCTGCGTCCGGTCAATCCTCATTCCACTGTTATCGAAGAACTGCAACAGAGACAAGAGCGAGAATCAGACACGTTTATCAGATATTCAAATGAAATGCAAATATGATTACAGTTACAACGGCAATTTGTCTGCCACCTGCCTGTCTCCATGGAAATCTTATTGCGCTGTCTAGAATGTTCCACACTATAGATTAAATCTACTATCACGAGGGAGACGAGCGGATTACAGTGTTACATTACAGTACAACAAAAACAACCGTAAAGAATAAATCCCAGATGGATATGTTTTTTTGTTTTTTTTATTTTATGTATTTATTTTGGGCAAGTTAAAGATTTACAGTCTTATTCAATGGAACATATAACGTAAGTGAAAATCATAATAGAATTGAAAATAACCACCAAAAAAAAAAAAAAATGCCACAAAGAGCTTTCTTTTGCATTTTTCAGACATTTTGAATTAAACTATATGAACTATTTACAAGTGCAGACAAAGAGTCACTGTTAGAGTTTGGTAGTATAACATAATCAGACCAACAATGGTAAAGTTAAGGATACAGGCAAAGTTAAGAAACAACAAATACAAGTAACGTAACGGGCAGCACAAACCAGCAATGGTAACAAAGCAATAAACAGAAACCAGCACTACAGAAGGAAGTATTGTCGTAATATTATGATCCACTCTCTATAAACTGTAACCAAACCATATAATTACAGAACAACTTGAATTTATGGATATTTTGGCATTGCTTGAGACGTGTATCCAGACTGTTCCAGAGTTTTACACCACATACAGACACACAGAAACTTTTACATGTACTTTGAACATTAGGCAATTTTAAATTTCTCTTTTTTTCTCCCATTTTGAACAAGCATTGAACATTACGTGGTAGTAAATTGTTGCATGCTCTGAATAAAATTACTAAGTGTATAATATTTTACAAGATCAGGAATCTTTAGGAGCTTGGATTGAATAAAAAGATTATGGGTGTGTTCTAAAAAAAAAACAACTTTATGGATAATTCGCAAAGCTCGTTTCTGAAATATAATCAATGGATGAAGTGTACATTGGTAAGTGTTCCGCCACACTTCAACACAGTATTTGAAATAAGGGTTTAATGTTTAATGTCATACCGTGGAACATTCCAGGTAAAGCAATAATCTCCATGGAGACAAGTAGGTAGTGGATCCTTCATCAAAAAAGTTGCCAAATGCACCTTTAAAGGCACTGTCTCTGATTTTTTTTTACCATCTTAAAACATGAAAAATAGAACTGGTTCATTTTAAACTGTTTGCAATGAAGCTGTATCAACTAGCATGCTAACAGTGCACCAGCCTTACGTCATGGTTTGATAGATATACTGTATAATTAGATGTAGAAAATAATATAAAAGAATATATCTTGATATATTTTGCTATATCTCGATATACGATACATATCTCGATATTTGTACAGGAAAAATAACCCCCCAAAAACTCCTGCAAAAACAAATCTGCCAAATTCCACAAGTGCAAAGAGGCAGTTCATGCAGGAACAAAGTGCTTTTGCGACATAAAAATGTATAAATAAATAAATCCCTGTATACAAAAATAATAATTTAGTAATACATATTGCCTTCTTTTCATTCAAAATAAATAAATAAATAAAACAACTCAACTCAAGCTCATCTTGAACTCCTTTAGCTCAGGAAGGAGAATCAAAATCTTCTGCATAAATAAACTTTACATTACTGAACTTTAAAACATATACACCATAAACACTCTAGACCCACATCAGTCCATTTGACATTATAATGAGTTTAATGCAGCTTTGCCACATTTGTTTATGTTTTATAGAAGCGAAACTTAAAACCACATTACCACATCATTTGTATAAACTGTAAGCGTTGAAAAAAATTGCTCTTTCCTTCTGCCTCTGATGCGGATCAGCTTCTGTCACACTAAAGGACACGACTAAATGGTGGAAAAGGTTCGTGGTGCTAGAAGCTTCTGTTGGCACCAACGTTCAGTGTGAGTAGTGAGTGAGTGAGACAACAGGCGAGGGGAGGGGTCACAAAACCAAGGAGGCGGGTGCGAGCACAGAGGAGGCAAACAAGCAAAGAGGCAAAATCAGAATGAAACATAAGCATTATATCAATATATACGATATGTCAGAGTCCATTTAGTGTTTAAAAAATGTCTCGATATATTCTTAATATCACGATATCGGCCACAGTACACAGTTGTCTCATTTTGACCTCAAGACTAGGGCTGGGTATCGATAAGAAGTTGCTGATATGACACATACCTCGATACATAGGCCACAATACGATACATATCGTGATAAAATGAGCTTTCGATTTGATACGATATATTTTAAATCGATTCAATACAGTTTAATATAAATAATTATAGTAAAAGTGTTTGTTAAACCACTTCTTGTGCAAAGTTCATATGAAACACAAACATTTTAATAATCAAAACAGTGAAAATGTCAAATGTGTCACATAAATGAGTTTCCTTCCTCTAAACAAGCTAATAAAAACTGTAGCTGTATCCAAATTATTTAGTAAAATATATCAAAAAATACTTGATACAGCAGCCCACGATACTGATACTGTATCATCACATTAAATGATTCAAGAGGTGCTTTTAGAATATATCTGGGTCCGGTCAAGCAATAACAGAGGGAAACAGGGGCAGATTTTTTTACATTCAAATGTCTCTTATTCAGAAACTAGAGGGACTATTGAAATAAGTAAAGTATCAGAATGTAGGAAAGAGTTACACTCCAACAGGGTCAAGTTAAACCTGTGATATTCTTTCAAGTTGTTGACAAAAAATAAAAAAACTAGCGGTTCTCACTTACATATCCTTAACAAACTGGTTTGAATATTTGCTTCATATAGTTTTCTACCATATGGTACAAGATTAGGTTGAAAAACCTCTTACTTTTTGACTAATGAGATTTTTTATTAAGAAAGGTCATGGTAACGGAGGGAAAAGTAACAGAGGGAAAATTGTGCAAACAAGTAGAAGGTGCATGATTTTACATTATTTGTCAGCTTTTATTTTCTGAATACTTTAATATTACTTCAAAATGAAAGGAAACTATTTCTATAAAATATGTCAGTCCTTCCAAGCTAAATTTTTATCATTTTAAATACTTTTTTTTTTTTTTTTTAATCATGTACCTTCATCAACAGTTCAAAGATCAAATAACACAAGATATGATGAAATACAAACATTTATTTACATGATTTGCAGGTCTGTGAAATTTGGGAAATAATTTTTGTTCCATGTTTCATTCATGGTCTGTTTAAAACGTATGGAACTTTAGAACCAAAAATGGTACAGAAAAAAGGTCAACAGTTTGATAAACTAGAGTACATATGTATCTGTTCAATACATTTTTATATCAGATGCATTAACTTCAATTTTTGGCCTTGATGTTTACTTCTGCTTGACTGGGCCCAGCTGTACTGGAGCAAAACAATATTACTTTATTTTATAATAAAAAGCTGTTGTTTTAGGCAAAGCAAAGTAATGTTTCAAACTGGGGCGGTGCCAGGTTTGTTTGGTTGGAGGAGCTGTGGGGGGTGAAGGTTTTCAATGGAAGTGCTCACTAAAATGCAAATGCAGAATGTTTTATGGATGTGGCCGCACCCAAACCCCCAACACTCCTCTGCTGTTTTAAGGAAGTTTAAATGTAGTTAGCTCCTGTAGTGAATTATAAAAGTGTAACGATATCCAAGTCTCACGATACGATGTCGTCACGGTATGAACCTCACGGTACAATATTTATTGTGATATCGTGGGAAAGCTCACGATATGATGGAGAGTCTCACGATTAGGGATGTAACAATATCCAAATGTCTCAGTACGATATTTTCACAATATACATCTCGATACGATATTTATAGCGGTATTTTGTGGAGACTAATATGCGATTTTTTCCTCTTAAAATGCCTCGACAAGATTTAATCCAAAGAACTAAGACTTAAAAGTGTTAGAACTGTTATTTCTTCTTGTCGTCTGCACTGAAATGGAGCAAAGGATCATGGTCTACGTAGTTCTCTCTGTCTTTTTTTAGCTTAGATATTATTGCGAGAACTTTGACGATACGATATCACGATATTTCGGTTATTGTTGCATCTCTAGTGAATTATAAACCCTAATATGGACTTTTTTCTTTATTGTAGTCTAATTTTGAAAACTCTGAGGTTGTCTTTTGAAAATTTTTAGGCAAGATTGAACGTTGGTGGAGATATGGGGGTGCAATGGCAATAGAGTATAAAATCAGGCATTGGAACAACATAATTTTTTGTCTAAAAGCACTTAATATTGCACATGATTTTAATAGAATAATCAGAATGTTTTTTTAGTTTTTCTTGTTGCTGTTTTTCATTTTAGCCTCGAGACCCGTGCCGCCGTTTGGGAACCTCTTGTCAAACCAAAACAGCCGTTGAGTTCAAGTGAAAACACGGCGGCGAGAGCCTGTTTACATTTCCTCACAGATAAGAGGCTGAAGCTCGGGTGCAGTTTTCAGGCCGGGATTTCATGCTCAAATATTGGTCACCGGTCGACGCAGAAAGCAAAGAGTTTGGAAATCCTCTTACGTCAAATTTCCTCACTCTTACTCAAATGTTTTGCGGCAGAGGTCGATGGAAAATATGGGACAAAGCAGGGACGTCTATAGTAATATATTTAAGTACATAAAGGTTATTTGAAATTGAACTAATGTTAGATGATGTGAAATAGTAAATAATTATACGGCATGAAAAGTAAACAACTGTAAACAAGATATTTAGAACAATTAACTTCAGCTTTGTACCTTCCAAAAGATGCACTGTAGTGAGTTGTTTTTGTTTTTTTTTTACTTTTTCTTGTACTCATACCACACCAACTTTATTTATAAAACACTTCAAAAACTTTACAGTAGGCCAAAGTGCTGTACACAAACACAGGGCAGACAATGACAATCGCAGTAGAAGAAAATATACAGTACAAACACAATACAACTACTAAAAAACATAGAAAACAGTAAGATAATAATCATAAAGAAACATATTATCTTAGGTCTGTCTTTGTCTTGTCTTGTTCTCTTGTTTGCCTTTGTTTGTCTCCTCATGCAAAGCGTCTTTGAGTATCTTGAAAAGCGAAATATAACCAAAATATTGTGATATCGTATCGTCAAAAGTCTCACAATAATATCGTGGGCTGTTACAATATATCAGATCACAAGTTATTTTGCTTAAATGCATGGTTTTATAGCAGCAACAGCTTATAAACATAGAGAACTACATATCCCATGATTCATTTCAGCGCAGACAACACAAAGAAATATGTTTTTAACTTGAATTCTTAGGATTATGATGGAAATAAATCACATCAAAATCTTGTCAAAGGATTTTAAAAGTGTCCCCTCTTTAATTATTAACCTTTTCAAAATATCGCAATAAATATCGTATCATGAGATGCATATCGTGATAATATCGTACCGTGAGATTTGGATATCGTTACGTCCCTAGAATTTGACAATAAATGTTGTACCAAATGACCGGTCAGTAGGGATGTGCATTGCCATGAGTCTGACGATACGATACACATCACGATATGCCTGTCACGATTCAATATATCCCGATATATCCTGATACTAAAACAAAGGACAATATATAGTGACTTATCACTAATTATGTATAATATTTTGGTCATGTAACATTCACAAAAACTAAATCAAATGAAATACAGTTTATTCAAATTTTCAAATCATGAGACCAGTAAATTGAACTTATGATTTTTTCATGAAAAACATGAGTTTTAAAAGTCGATTCAGACACATTTTGAATCGATATAAGAATTGCACAATGAAGTATCACGATATATCACTGAATCGATATTTTCTTACACCCCTACTGGTCAAAGCATTTGATAATGTGTGTCTTGTCTATTTATAATATCATAATATCATGAGCCTTCCCACCATATCGTGACCTTTCCCACGATATCGCAATCAATATTGTAAAATAAGATGATTACCGTGATGATATTGTATCGTGAGACTTGGATATCGTTACACCTCTACTATACAAGTATTATGTATTATTATTATTATTATTATTATTATTATTATTAGGTGGTACTTTGTACAAAACAGTACTTGACATTTAATATATCTTCCAATTTGCATTGTTTAGTACATGCTTAAGATAGTAGTAGCAGTAGTAGAAGTAGTAGTAGTAGCAGCAGCAGTAGTAGTAGTAGTAGTAGTAGTAGTAGTAGTAGTAGTAGTAGTAGTAGTAGTAGTAGTAGTAGTAGTAGTAGTAGTAGTAGTAGTAGTAGTAGTAGTAGTAGCAGTAGTAGTAGTAGTAGTAGTAGTAGTAGTAGTAGTAGTAGTAGTAGTAGTAGTAGTAGTAGTAGTAGCAGTAGTAGTAGTAGTAGTAGTAGTAGCAGTACCAGTCGCAGTAGCAGCAGTAGTAGTCAATAGTCACAGTCACAGTTGTACAAAGTCTTTTTCAGAAACTTCTTCAAATATGGCATTGACAAAAATATTTTAGTTGACAAAATTAACACTGGTAAGAAATGTAGTAATATCTATGCAGTAGTAGTAGTAGTAGCAGTAGTAGTAGTAGTAGTAGTAGTAGTAGTAGTAGTAGTAGTAGTAGTAGTAGCAGCATATATGAGATATATAGAGTATAGAGTATCTAAAGATCACAGTCAAAAGTCAAAGTTCAAATTCTTCAGAAGGGTTTTCAAATATATAACACTGGCAAGAAGTGCAGTAGTAGCAGTAGTAGTAGCAGTAATAGTAGTAGTAGTAGTAGTAGTAGTAGTAGTAGTAGTAGTAGTAGTAGGGTAACCAGATTTTCAAAATAAAACGGGGAGAGCCTTGGGTTGGTCGTGATTGGAAATAATAAAATTGCGAAACAAGTGCGTAACTCATGACTTATTCACGATAACATGAGTCAGTACAGTCATATTTCCTTTTTACACCTTAACAAAAACCTAAAACAAAAAAATACTAGACAATTTATGCCTCTGTTTACTGTTGGCAGGGATCAAATTGGTCAACAATAGGGACACTTGGCACATTTCTTGTATAAAACTGGGACAAATCAATAGTTTTAGATAAATCTGCTGGGACTGGGGACACAGGGCTGAACACTGGGACTGTCCCGGGTAAATACAACATTGATTATTTATTTGACTGATTGATTGATTATTTATTTATTTCGGTTACAGGTATATTCTGACATTAATTCACAAACAGTCATATTTAACATACACAGACCGAAAAGGTGCAGGCTGAAGCTTGAGCTTATTCTGCCTTTACCCTTTATTTGTTTATCAGAGCGTCATCCTAACACCAGTTCATCTTCATAAATACAGCGAGAGGAAACAAACAAATCAGAAACAGTACAACAAAGTACTACAGCACAAACTAAGTATCATATTTCATGTATCTGTCCAGAGTTAAACATTTAAACTTCTTTATAAAGTGAAAGAGATTAGTGCAGTTTTAGGTTTTCTGTACATTTGTTCCAGAGCTCCAGCCCTTTAACAGATTCACAAAATTTCATAATGTTTGTTCAGATTTTTTTTTTTGATAAACGTGACCACGACTCTGAGCTCGTATCGGCTCTTTCGAGTTTTGAACATGTTCTGTAAAGATTCTGACAGGAGATTATTTTTACTTTGAACATGATTTTCAGTGTATAAAGGTGGACTAAATCAAAAAATTTCAGAGTTTGAAGGTTTATAAATTGATTATTGAAATTGATTCGTTATAAGATGATAATGTGATTGCTCTTATTGCATTTTTTGCAAGGTGAAGACTGGATTTGTATTAGTCTTATATGTATTACATAGTAGTAGTGGTTGTAGTAGTAGTAGTAGTGGTAGTGGTAGTGGTAGTGGTAGTAGTGGTAGTAGTAGTAGTAGCAGTAGTAGTGGTAGTAGTAGTTTTAGTAGTAGTAGTAGTAGTAGTAGTTTTAGTAGTAGTAGTAGTAGTAGTAGTTTTAGTAGTAGTAGTAGTAGTTTTAGTAGTAGTAGTAGTAGTAGTTTTAGTAGTTTTAGTAGTAGTAGTAGTAGTAGTTTTAGTAGTAGTAGTAGTAGTAGTAGTAGTTTTAGTAGTATAGTAGTAGTAGTAGTAGTTTTAGTAGTAGTAGTAGTAGTAGTAGTAGTAGTAGTAGTAGTATTTCAAACCTGTATGTCTATATTATTGATTGGGAGCTGTGTACTTTAAAGTAAACCATCTATTACCATTCATAACTTTGCACAGCTTCTTAAAAATCAATAATAAATACAGTTTAACACCACAGTTACTACCATAAATGATTATTAGAACTATTATTACAGTCAGATGTGAATAAAAATACTTAAATTAAAGTCTAGTTCACACATTCCAATACATTTCAATGAGGTTGTTAAGTTCATTCGTGCTTCTCTCGTGTCCTTCTTTATCTTTAAAAACAAGAAGCTGGCTAAAAAAGAGCGTTAATTTATAAAGATCTTATCGCGAACTATTAACAGAATAACTTACAAATCGTGTGCTGTAATAAGGTGTAAAAGAATAGTGATAAACGGTGTGTTTTTGTAAAGTTGTAGAGGGAAGCTGAGCCCGTGGACCTGGATGAAGCTAACGCCGGGGGATGCTAGGCGGTTTTACCCGGCTTACCTGCTTCTGTGGGCGGCTGCGAGGATGCTGCGGAGCCGGGGGAAGGCGGGGGGGCGGTAAACGGAACCCCGCGAGCGGCGATGACCGAGGTTAAAGTTTCACCAGGACGAAAGGGCTGGAGCCGGATCGGAGCTGAGGAGAAGCAGAGACACAGAGAGAGAAGCGCTCGGAGAGAGGAGGGAGCAGAGAGCGTCCGGGGGGAGGGAGGCGAGGGGCTGGAACAGACACGCGACGAGATCCGGTCTGCGCGAGACCTGTCACTACGCACCGACGAACGGTGTTTTAAAGTTTAGAGTTTTTATTTTATTTTTATTTTTTTTATTTTAATAGTAGTTATTAGTTCATTGTAATTAATTAATGTATTTATTTGTAAAAAAAAAAAAAAAAAAAAAAAAAACGACGATAAGCGGAAGAAAAAGGACTGTTTGTTTATTTATTTATTTATTTATTTATTTTTGTTTAATATGGTAAAATGGTAAATGGTTACAATATACATATATTTTTTAACTGCGCTTTACAACAATGAATCCACCAATACACCAGTGTACGCAGACACTCGGGGCAAGGTGAGTTAAGTGTCTTGCCCAAGGACACAAAAACAGCATTCATCTGTGAGAGCTGGAATCGCACTGCCAACCTGTGGGTCAGTGGATTTGGCCATTCAATCAATGATGTTTACATGGAAAGCGGAATATGTTATGTACATACCCTTGTTTTTATTTTTTTATTTGTTTGTTTGTATGTGTTTTTTTGTTTTGTGTTGTTTTTTTGTTAGTGTTGTTGATTTTGCTAAAAAAAAATGTTGCTCAACAATATATCTATATCTATAATATATATATCTATATATATATATATATATATAGATATATATCAATCAATCAATCAATCAATCAAACTTTATTTGTATAGCACTTTTCATACATTTGAAATGTAGCACAAAGTGCTTCACATGCAACAGAAACATTTTTAATACATTAATTAACACCCCCCCCCCCCCCCCCCATACCACAATTTAAACAGAAACATAAAAACTACAAAACTAATAAACATAAAGCTCTTAAAAGTTATAGTAAAAATTAAAAGTGTATATATGTGTGTGTGTATATATAAATAATCGTTCCTTTCATTTTATCCATGTTTTTGTATTTTAAATACATTATTTTGCATTTTAAATACATTATTGTATTGTATTTGTATTTAAAATAATTATTTTATACATTATTTATTTATTTCAATATATATTTTTACGTTTTATATATTTGTAGCATTTTATTTATTTTGTTTGTTTGTTTTTTAATTTATTTATGTTTAATGTTTTTTCATTGGTTTTATTTATTTATTGCTATTCTATGATTTTATTTTACTGGTTTTATTATTTTAAGACTAGCATGATTATTTTAGTAATGTGCTATAGAAATAAAGTGGATTGGATTTTATGCTTCTACTGATGCTGTTTTTTCATTCATGTTTGTGGGAGAAATAAAGGTTTTCTCATTGTATTCTGTGTATTTACTTGACAGAACATAAACAAACATAGCAGCAGCAGCAGCGGTAGTAAAGCAGAAGTTGCGCTGCAGAGTGAGACGTCCTTGTGAGGATCTACGCACGCACTGGGCGGGTGATGACGTATTGCGTCACGAGGCTTGGATGTGGGCCCCGGGTCCACGTGAAGCACATCTCTGCTTTCCCTCAGGCGGAGGATTTAACATCAGTCAATCCCGTACAACCTGTGTGGGTTAAACAGGCCTACAGTGTTCACTTATTTACACACTCCACTGTACAGAAGTTCTTCCCACAGAAGTAGCGCTAAAAAAGAGTCGCATTGCTTTTAGATTTAGACTTAGACAAACTTTATTGATCCACAAGGAAAATTATTTGAACATAGTAGCTCACAAATCACAATATAATATAAATATAATAACAAGAGCAAAAATATGAATAAATTCTAAATAAGTAGCAAAAATAACAAGACACTGGTGTAAAATAAAGCATAATTGTGTAAATATAAATGTACAAGTCGAAATAAAATTGAAAAATAAGTAATAAAAATGATAAAAAGTTATATACCAGAGGTCATGAGGGAAAAAAAGATTGACAGGACATAGGGTTATCTGTTACATGAGGGTGAAGTGTTGTACAGTTGTAGGGAGTATTATCTGTTACATAAGAGTGAATTGTTGCACAGTTGTAGGGAGTATTATCTGTTACATAAGGGTGAGTTGTTGTACAGTTGTAGGGAGTATTATCTGTTACTTGAGGGTGAAGTGTTGTACAGTTGTAGGGAGTATTATCTGTTACATAAGAGTGAAGTGTTGTACAGTTGTAGGGAGTATTATCTGTTCCATAAGGGTGAGTTGTTGAACAGTTGTAGGGAGTATTATCTGTTCCATAAGGGTGAGTTGTTGTACAGTTGTAGGGAGTATTATCTGTTCCATAAGGGTGAGTTGTTGTACAGTTGTAGGGAGTATTATCTGTTCCATAAGAGTGAATTGTTGTACAGTTGTAGGGAGTATTATCTGTTCCATAAGAGTGAATTGTTGTACAGTTGTAGGGAGTATTATCTGTTCCATAAGGGTGAGTTGTTGTACAGTTGTAGGGAGTATTATCTGTTCCATAAGGGTGAGTTGTTGTACAGTTGTAGGGAGCATTATCTGTCATGTAAGGGTGAATTGTTGTACAGTTGTAGGGAGTATTATCTGTTCCATAAGAGTGAATTGTTGTACAGTTGTAGGGAGTATTATCTGTTCCATAAGGGTGAGTTGTTGTACAGTTGTAGGGAGTATTATCTGTTCCATAAGGGTGAGTTGTTGTACAGTTGTAGGGAGCATTATCTGTCATGTAAGGGTGAATTGTTGTACAGTTGTAGGGAGTATTATCTGTTCCATAAGAGTGAATTGTTGTACAGTTGTAGGGAGTATTATCTGTTCCATAAGGGTGAGTTGTTGTACAGTTGTAGGGAGCATTATCTGTCATGTAAGGGTGAATTGTTGTACAGTTGTAGGGAGTATTATCTGTTCCATAAGAGTGAATTGTTGTACAGTTGTAGGGAGTATTATCTGTTCCATAAGGGTGAGTTGTTCTACAGTTGTAGGGAGTATTATCTGTTACATAAGGGTGAGTTGTTGTACAGTTGTAGGGAGCATTATCTGTCATGTAAGGGTGAATTGTTGTACAGTTGTAGGGAGTATTATCTGTTCCATAAGAGTGAATTGTTGTACAGTTGTAGGGAGTATTATCTGTTCCATAAGGGTGAGTTGTTGTACAGTTGTAGGGAGTATTATCTGTCATGTAAGGGTGAATTGTTGTACAGTTGTAGGGAGTATTATCTGTTCCATAAGGGTGAGTTGTTGTACAGTTGTAGGGAGTATTATCTGTTACATAAGGGTGAATTGTTGTACAGTTGTAGGAAGTATTATCTGTTACATGAGGGTGAGTTGTACAGTTGTAGGGAGCATTATCTATCATGTAAGGGTGAGTTGTTGTACAGTTGTAGGGAGTATTATCTGTTCCATAAGGGTGAGTTGTTGTACAGTTGTAGGGAGTATTATCTGTTCCATAAGGGTGAGTTGTACAGTTGTAGGGAGTATTATCTGTTCCATAAGGGTGAGTTGTTGTACAGTTGTAGGGAGTATTATCTGTTCCATAAGAGCGAATTGTTGTACAGTTGTAGGGAGTATCATCTGTTCCATAAGAGCGAATTGTTGTACAGTTGTAGGGAGTATTATCTGTTACATAAGAGTGAATTGTTGTACAGTTGTAGGGAGTATTATCTGTTCCATAAGAGTGAATTGTTGTACAGTTGTAGGGAGTATTATCTGTTCCATAAGAGTGAATTGTTGTACAGTTGTAGGGAGTATTATCTGTTCCATAAGGGTGAGTTGTACAGTTGTAGGGAGTATTATCTGTTCCATAAGGGTGAGTTGTACAGTTGTAGGGAGTATTATCTGTTCCATAAGGGTGAGTTGTACAGTTGTAGGGAGTATTATCTGTTCCATAAGGGTGAGTTGTTGTACAGTTGTAGGGAGTATTATCTGTTCCATAAGGGTGAGTTGTACAGTTGTAGGGAGTATTATCTGTTCCATAAGGGTGGTTAGTTGTAGGAGTAACTGAGTGTGTTTCCATGTACATCATTATCCTGGTTATTATCCATATCCTGGTTATGCAAATATTCAGGATACTGTGTTTACATGTGCGACGAGAAACCAGGGAACTCATATCCCCGTGTACATGATCGAATGAAGTATCCCGGTTTCTTGACATAATCTTACAAAAGCCAAGCGCAAAAATTAACTTTATTTAATCTAATAAACCAGGAAAAATATAAACCATGAGCTCCTTTAGCAGAGGAAGTTCGGGAGTTTCCTAACCAGCGGTAATGAGCTATGATCCACTGCACAGATCAAACCCAACGTTTCCAGACATTATTGTACAAGTTCTACACTGCAGATCATTAATTAAAATCTTCTGCATAAATAAACTCGACTTTACAACATATAAATCATCAGCAGCACATTTGATCATATAATGCAGCTTTGTCACATTTGTTTACGTTTTACAGAAACTACATGGCTCATTTGCATAAACTGTAAACACTGGGGGAAAAAAAACAGCTTTCTCCTTGTGCACTTATGTGGTTTAGTTTAGTTTATGTGTTTATTTATCAGGGACAATGCACATAAAAACATTGAGCAACACAAAGAGGACATATGCTTGTGCTAGGAAAAATTGCTAATTTCCACCTTCAGTCCCTGGACAGGTTGATGTCATAAGCTTCAGCTTCAGCTTCAACTCAGCTTCTGTCTGACGAAAGGACACAATTCAGTGGAATATGAGTGTTCTCCCTGTGACAGAGGGATGTTCTGTTGATGTTGAGTCTGTTCTGTGTGTACTGTATATCTTATAAGAGATGTTTCATGTTTAATTTTTCGATCAGACGTGTGCAGGTTTAGCACAGCTCTTTATTTTACAGTAAAATCACTCATTTATGGTCACTTTATTTATGTTGATCACTTTATTTAAATTCATCACTTTATTTATGTTGGTCTCTTTATTTAAATTCATCACTTTATTTATGTCGGTCTCTTTATTTAAATTCATCACTTTATTTATGTTGGTCTCTTTATTTAAATTCATCACTTTATTTATGTTGGTCTCTTTATTTAAATTCATCACTTTATTTATTTATGTCGGT